AGTAAATCAGAAGAGAATTTATAGTAAATAAGCAGGCAAATTTGCCTGCAAAACCCTACGATTTAAGGGATAATAATTTTATAATGTATTTTAAAAATTAAAAAAATTGTAAGTTACTATGTAGAATTTTATATAATAATTTATATAAAAATCATTACCATTTAAGATATAGATTTTAAAATAAGTTTATAACTAATTTATAAATTTATAAAAATTTATAATAAAAGTAAATTTTTATAACTTTAAAAATATCTTTAAAATACAAAAAAGTTTTATTAATTCTAAAAAAGAAAACTTATTAAATTTTATTAATAAAAGTTTTTTTTTTAAATTTATTAATAAATTTTATTATTATTATTATTTTTTAATAAAAAAAAATTTTATAGTAATTTTGATTAATTTTTTCTTTTATAATTTGAAATAAATATTTAAAGATGATTTTATTATTATTTAAAAGCTATTTCAAAATTCTATTAAGTTTTTATTATTAAAGTCATCTTTCAATATTTAAGTAATTATATATAGAACAAAATTTGTAAATCTATATTATAATTTGTAACTTTAAATTTTACAATATTGAATAGATTTGAATAAATAGTTATATATACCATTTTTATATTACTTACTATATACAGTATATAAATTTTATTGAATAAATATACCTTTTCTTTGTAATATATAAAGTAATTGTAATATTTAATAAAAAAAAAAGGTAGTAATCTTTAAAGTAATTAAGGTAATTCTTATTTTAAAATAAAAAGAATTTCAAAAACAGTTGACCTTTTCTACTGCTGTCACACCCCTCGGAACCAAAAATAAAAGTGTGACTATAGTGAAAAGTGACTATATAGAAGGATTTTTTTATAGTATTACTAAGCTAAGTATTGTGACTAAAGCATTGTGATTATAAAAGGGGTGTTAATAGAAACTGATTCTTATGAAAGGTACGGAGGATTTATATGACGATTTGTATACCATTTATTGCAATAAAAGCTGTCTTGTCAATCAAGCCTTAGATTTATCTATACCATATCCTTTTCCTGACGCGTTATAATCTTTAATGAAAGTTCAGCTAATTAAAGAATTTATATAAATTCATCAATGATTTATGATAATGATTATTCAATTATGAATTAAACATTCCAACCAAAAAAAGTAATTGGTTACATCAAATATCACGCTAACGTATACATAACTGATAATAATCTTAACAATAATTATTCTCGAGGTTTTCAAATTCGTAAAATTTAACACTGATGCGAAATTTATAATTAGGTAAAGTCTTTCTGTTTATATTATATTATACGTAAAATATATCTAATGAATTATTTGCGATTTAAGAAGTAATTTATATTTGCTTATGAAAAAAGTTATTAGTTTAAATACACACTTGAAATTATAAACAGAACTGTGGTAATTGGGTCACTAATGGGCACATTGAATATCCATCCCGTGACCTAAAGGGTAGGAAATGCCCTCTTTTTCAGATGAAAAGCCTGAACACAAAAAATAAAATTAAAAAGCCAATTATAAAGAATTTACAAAACTATCAATTCAAACCTGTTCACGATCTTACAAATCATACATAACAAATGAAAAAAAACTAAATATAAATCACTATCTTTAAAATTTCATAGCTAACTTCGAATGCACTCTAAATAAATAATAAGAATATAAAGATAAAATAATAAAAGACAAACGGTTTTAATATATCTTTTGACTGATCACATTGAGGAAAAATTCAGAGAATTTTGAGTCTGTGAATTAATAGAAATTTTGTTAAATAATACTCTTTTTTCAATGTTGTTTATTACATTCGCTCGCACCTGGATAATCTCTTTGAGACATATCATGAAGGGAAATATTGATTCCATTTCATGATTAGTGCTGGCAATCCTTTATTTATTTATACATGTTATTAATATTAATTAAATTATTAGTTAAATATTAAATTTAAATAGACATCATACTTGTCCAAAGTGATTTCCAGTACAATGATAACAATAAAGTCTAAAGCTTCTTTTACATACTGCTGATGCTGTTAAATTGTATCGTCTCCAAGTCGACTGTAATCAAATATATAAAAATTAATCTATATATACAAAAGGTAATATCTTATAACAAGATTATGAAAAATTACTTTACCTCATCATTTTCAGGATAAAGTATATTCTCACAAGTTTGTTCATCATGATTATATTCTTTGCAAAGTGCGCAACATTGTCTTCTATCATTTGATGGAAAATTGTTATGCGACTCATCAAGTCTTTTTCGCTTATGTGAAATTGCTGATTCAGCATTTTCTATATGAATCGGAACTGAACTTGGCTTCTTATGCTCCAATGATATATTACTTTTATTTTTAGTAATTTTTACTATATTGATTTCGAGGTTAGATGTTGGTGGTTCGTTATTTTGTATATCAGATTTTGAATTATCTACTGCGTAATATATTTGTGCTAACGCGTTTGTCAACTCTTCATTTTCACTATTTTCGTATAAATTAGCATTATTTAATATGTAATATAAATGCAAAGGTTAGCATTTATTACCTTTCTGAATCATCGTTAACTTGGTAGATTTCGTTCTCATACTCGAGAACTTGTTCGTATTCATAATCTTCCATCTTGAGATGTGAAAAAAAAAAGGATAAATTTTTAAATTTAAAAAGCTCAAAATTATCACGTGATAAAAATTGATGTTGAACAAAATCCTTCAACAATCATCCAAATGGAATTAACGTATTTGTGTTATGTGATATTTCTTCAGGAGAATATATAATAATAAATAAGAAAATTATAATTGATTACTTATAATTTTTTAATAAAAATTGATTTATATTTAATTTTTTTCACTAATAAATTATATTTTATTTCTATTTTAATTAGTACCAAATAAATTAAATATTTAATTAAGAATTATATAAGATATTAATGATATGTAGCTTAAAATTTAGAAACTTTTTAAAACCTTTAAAATGACTTTTTTTTAAATCTGAAACTTGATAAAATTTAATTGAGTTTAGAAAAACCTATTAGAAGTTTAGGTAAAGATATTTATTATAAACAAATAGTTTTATCTCAAATATCTCAAAACTTAAATTTTCTAAAATAGTTTAGGAAGGCATCTTTATAAGATATTATAAAAGTAATACTAACATTTAAATTTTTAGTTAGTATATTTAAATTAAAATAATGATTAATTATAAATAAATATTAATAATAATAATAATATCAGAAAATTTTTTATAGTAAAATGTTTATTTATTACATATATATTTATAGTATAAGATTTCAGAATATTATGAAATTTAATAATCTCTTATTTGTAAATTATTGAATTTTATTAAAAGATTATAATAATATTATGAAAATATAAAATTATATAATGTTATCTCTTAAATTGTCTAACAGAAATTTTTTTAATAATATTATTATTATATAAAAATATAGTTTAATATATATTTTATAATTAACTTTATTAGTAAATTTTTTAAGTTTTTAAGTTACAAAAAATTTATTATAAAGATTTTTTAAAATTTATATGTATGTATATTAATTAAATTTTATCATTAATAATTCATAAAATTATAAAATTTCTTAATAAATTATAAAAATTATAAATAATAAAAGTTTTTCTTTATAAGTAATTTTATAGTATTATATTATAATTAATATAAATAAAGTAAATTCTAAGCTATCTCTTCAATAATTTTTTTTTCAAATTTAAAAGAAATTTTATTTACTAATTAAAATTAATTTAGATATATTATCAAAAAATAATATTTTTATATAAAAATTTATAATATATTTTAAGTAAAATCAAAAAAAAAATTTATATTAATTAGTATTTTTTTGCATTAATTTAAGATCTAAATTTTGAATTTTTTTTAATAAAAGTTAAAAATTTTAATTTTTATTTATATTTATATTATTAAAAAACTTTATGAACTATAAAAATTTATTTATATTTAAATATTATATATTTATAAAAAATTATAAATATAAAGTTGAATATTTTATATATATTTAATATTTTAATTATTAAGAATGAAATTTTATTTAAAAATAATAGATTTATAATATATTTATAATGTATTTTAAAAAAAATTGTAAATTTTTATGTAAAATTTTATATAATAATTGATTGAAAATAATAACTAAATTTAAATAAAAATTAATAATTCATAATAATAAAAATAGATTAAAACAAAAAATAAATTTGATGAACTTTTTATTATTAACGTGTAATTCTTATGAACTACAACTATTAGACAAGATTAATTCTTTTTAATTGTATAGTAATTTTAACATTTACAAGTCTATTTAATGACTTATCTTCTAAAGAAATGTATTTAATTAAATATTTCAATAATATCAATTCAAATAATTATATTTTAAAATAATAAGTTTATTCATGAGTTAAGAAATAAAAAAGAAAAGAAAAATAAAAAGATGATAAGAAAAAGAACATAAAATAAAAAAAAAATACTAAAACTAAAGTGTAATACAATATGTCTGTTTGCTTCTTAAAATTACTAAAAATTGACTTGTCAAATCTTACTTTTTATATGGTCTAAAAAGCTATCTATTTATATAAAATACATTATATAAAAAGATATAACTAATATATCATATATGTCTAATATTAGGATTCCTCAAAATTAAATCGAATCAAATATTTAAGTAATTTAAATTTAATTATATTTTTTTAAATTGAATCGAATCGAATTGAATTGAACTCAAATATTTGATCGAATCAATTTAAATCAATTTAAATTTGATCGAATCAAATCAAATTGAATCAAATATTTGTCAAATCAAATCAAATCAAATATTTGATTGAATTGAATC